CCTTTACATTTTTTAAATGTTTCTTGGACTCTTACCAGAAGGTTTTTACAGTCTGCTGCCTGCCTCTCGGATTAGAAGAACACTGGCATATTTTAACAGTTTCCTAGGATCCAAATAGTCTTTAATTAACAGGGAATTGATGTTTTGGAATGCAACCAAAATATGGGAGACACTGGAAGCAGAGATTGGGCTTCCAGCTTTTAACTGTCTGTGGCAGGGGAGCAAACAAATAACTAAAACATGATCTGCTGCAAACAGGTAGCTGCTTATTGGTATGCAAGGGGATTACTTTGTTTGCATAATGTTCCCACAGGAGGGGTAGCTGGTGGCATTAGGAAGGAGAAGCTTTCTGCTTTGTAAGAATCAGCTCCACCTCCTGCAACAGCATGTTAGTCAGAGCCCTTTGAAGTAAAAGGGACAAACAGAATTTCAGCGGCTGTTGAAACTTGTATTTCAGCAGCAGTTTTGCAATAGATTTGTATTGATCAACTGCTGAGGCAGCAAGGTATGTTCTGTTTGCTAGGTACAGGTTGACTATGAAGCTGTGAGCTCAGTAAGGGAGCATTTAATTAAAAAATGAGAGGTCTGCAAATGGCTTGACTTTTTCTGAGCAGAACAGCTGGGTTTGTTGTTTTTCTGCTTTTTTGTTTCTTTCTTTCTTTTGATGCAAAGTTTGCCCAAGGAGTCTGAGTAACAGGGCTGGAGTACAACACGAGTTTTAATAGACTGAGACTAGCTGAAGTTGTAAACGGAAGTCAGATGTAGGCTGAACTGTCATTCCAGGTATTCCAGGGAGAGAAATGATTTACTAGCTAATTTTAAATAATGAAATATTGATACCTGAAGCAGTTCCTGGCAAAGAACTAAAACCGAGAGCTGGTGAGTCAGCTGCACTCTTTTTCGATAATGCAGTAAATTGCAGGCAAGTAAAAATGCATGTTTAACCCAGTAGCTGCTTTTAGCATTGATTTTTAGTTTCTTTGTAGTTGTATTATTTTTGAATGTCTTCTGTCTTTTTTGCATGTAGGTGGTACATGCCAGAGCCCTGCTCTTCCAGCCCTAGTGCGTCCTCCCGCTCCACCTTTGCAGCCATCGCTGGATATTAAACCATTTCTTCCATTTCCTCTGGACACTGCCGCAGCAGTCAATCTCTTCCCCAACTTCAATGCAGTAAGTACACTCCTAATAGTTACTGTCCACTTCAGTGAGCCACAGTTTCCACAGAAGACTCAAGAGGGCACAAAGTAAAATTTTATGTACTCAATTAAACCTGGAATATCCTTTCCCTTACTGAGGGCCAAATAGCTCTTTCAGACACACTGGTAGGCCATAAATTAAAGCATAGCTAAGTGTTAGCCAGAAGTAATGTAGAAGGAAAAAATGATATGATCCCAAGTGGCATGAAATAAAGTTGCAGGCCTTATTCGGTGCCTGGGCTTGTGAGTTTCCCACTGTAATTTAAGAAGAGAAGAATCTCACTAACTTACAGTTTGCTGTAAGAGTGAAGCTCTTGCAGTGGTGGAATTCGACATCCAGTCTCTAACAAGCTTCCTGAGAAATACTTAAAGATTTACACATCGGAGTGGCTACAAAAGATAAAACTGTAACGGCAATTGGAGCAACAATAGAGCAGCAGTGGCTGGCGTATGTACGGAACTATTAATTGGAAAACAAACCAGGGAATTCTCTTCACGTTGGAGTGTTTTATTTTTGACATCTTAAGTAAAAGTCTAGGCTGTCTACCTTAAAAAAGTCTTTACTTAGACACACTGCCTGTGATTTTAGAAATCTGCATACTACTTCTTAGATATTTTCATTATTTTAGTGGGATATGGCCTGAGTGTTTCCATTTTCCTGTTTCTGATATTTAATGCCATAAGAAGGAAAAATCTACAATGATATTAAAATCCTATTTACTTTATATATTTATTCCCCTTTTTATTTCAGAGTACTCTACATTATCTTTTCCTTATTTATGTATACAAGTTATAGAAAAAAAATGAGTCTAGTGTGCATACCTGTCTTGAAAGAGAGGATCTATGGAAATTTTCATATCAAAACAATTTAATTAACATGTAAAAATCTTAATTGCAATAATTAAGAGTAATAAAAGAACATGCCCATTCTAGAAGTCATTTGTAGTAATCAATAGCAAATTTCCATAATTAAATGTTAATTTATTTACCTTTTGTGGATGTTCATTTTGCTTTAAAGTAATTAAAATGTACTAATTCTAAAAAATATTTATTTATGCAGTCTTAAATGCAAGCTATTGACTGCATTAATGAAGATAGAGAAGCTATAGCTACAAGTCTTAAAATACTCAGAAGCAACATGTCAAAGAATTATTATTTCCGAATTACATTCTCAAATTTAAAAAATGTATAGAAGTGTGCAGCATGTTTTACAAAATACTTAAAAATAAACTGTTGATAGTACATTATGAAAGGTATGAATAATTATATTTGAGGCTATTATTTTTTAGATTTTTTTTCTTATTATTTTTTCTCTGTGATGACTGAATATATTTATTGCAGTTATAATATCCATTTATTTCATATTTTCCATAGTTTGGGACTTTGGGATTATTTTGCCAATTAACTACGTATTTCAAATGCAATTTTAACGATTAATTTAAATAAATAATTGATAATTTGATATTGTTCTGTAAGGCTGTATTTTTTTTTCTTACAAAGACTGTTCTTAACCTATTTCTGTCTTGGGGGGGGGGAATATATTTTAAAAATAATTTGGAGCTCAGAAAGGAAAAATAGACTCCTATTGAAACCTTATTACTCTTGAACATCCGCTCAGTAATTTTTCTTTTTGGTGTATGCATAATAGTTAAATTCAGAGACATCATGCTTTTTCAGTTTTTCAGTAAATTGTGCCTAATTTTCAAGAAGAAGAGTAGCAGTCATTTTAAGCAATACTCGGGAGTACATTCTCATGCAGCTTGCTGCTTCCTGTGATCTGTTGCCATCTGCCAAATCTACCTTTACTCACTGTGACAGTCCTGAGCGTGCGGATGCAGTCCTCAGAGCTGTCATCGGCCTTGCCTTTCACACTATGTGCCTTGCAAAATGACCTTTGCCTTCTCATCACATGTGCTGACATGCGGAAGCATCCTCAGTGTTCCCATTTTCCTTCTGAACAGTCCGTTATTGAACACTGCTATGTTTAGCTCATATGCCAGAGCTGGTTAATGGCATCCTCCAAACATGTAGGCTAGCTGGGAAGTTCTGCGTATTTCTAGATTGTTTTTTTCCAGGCTGACAAACCTTTGGGGACACATCATCTGCTGCTGAGCGTTAAGGAGAAGGTAACCTACAAGCCAAATTTGACTTTGAACAGAATGTATGACAAGGGCTTTAGGTAGGGGAGTATAAGGCAGAAAACAGAGTGTTTGAGCAAAAAATGACCTTCCTAAATATGCATGCCCATGTGTGATTGTAGCTGTTACTAGTACTTCATATTCAGGGACTTCATATTCGAGGGCTTCATACTGAAGTGTCAGCAGAGAAGCACTTAGAGTTTGTGAGTAAGTCAAGGTTAAGCAGAAAGTTTATATAGGAGCCAGAACTCCAAGCCACTGAAGTGCACTTTCTCCTCTTTGTTGTGGATTTATTAGCATTAGCCAGATTGAGACCTCAAGGTCATAACTGTGTCTTATGAAAGGGTTTTCTAAAGGCCTCCTTACCCTCCCTCAAGTCTACAGAAACTATTAAGTTTAGCGGCAGATCTGGACTACTTCTCAAGAGGCTACTTCAGACCACTTTTAAACAGCCTTCCTTTGAGAAAAGCAATGATCAAGGAAAAACTTCAGAAAAAAAAATGCAGTCATGTTTTAGGGAAAAGAATTAGTGTCTGGTTGTGATGATCATTGTACACAATTTAAAATTGGAGTACAATAGACATGAATATCTAAGTTGGCCCTACGTTTCTTTGTAAAAGAGAATGGAGAAAACCAGGAAATTCCTCCATTTTTAGTGGAGCAAAATGCACAAAAGTAGGGTGCAGTTCATCTGCTTTATGTGTCTGCTTAGGGATGAGAAGAACCCCATAAGTAATGAAGGACTGGCTGAGCTGACCTGAAACTACATTTGATTAGATGAACTCCACGTTAGTGAGCAGATTGTAACCCACTCAAGAGTGATATATTAAATTCTATTCAGAAATCAGAGGACTGAAGTGCTGAGATGGTATTGTAACTTTACAGAGAAATGCTCCTGTTTATGAAGCTGGCTTCTAATTGTATCTAAAGACAATCATAAGGGAATGTTAAGATTCAGATGAAAAGTAATTTACTTGTTGGATTCTCCATGCTGATGGAGATTCTTCAGACATGTGCAAAAGAACTAAAAAAAAACAAATACCAATCTTAACTACAGTACCAGAGATAATGGTAGCAAGGAGCTGTTTTCTATAACTTTCTTTTTTTCTATTTAAGTTAATTACAAATGCAAGGTTTTCTTTGTTACCGATGATTTTGGTCTAAAGTTAGCTCAGTTGCTGATGGCTGCCACTGAGGGAAACATTCAGTGCCAACCACTGCAAAGGCAGAAGAGAGGAGATACAGTGCAGTAGGGACAAACCTTTCTGGATAGTGTCTCAGGGGCACTGAGGAAAGGGAAAAGAAAAAGCATATAACCTGAGAAATGCAAGGAAGATGAACCTCATGAACCTCTGAAGCATTCAGTTTCATGAGTGACATTTTCTATTTATACAACAAAGTATAAACCAAATATACCAATTAACAATCTGGTTAGCTGAACATTTGTGGGTGCTATATACATAATTGTGAAGCAAATAGGTACCCTCAAGTTGTGCATAAAAAGAAATTTTAACAACACAGCTGTTTAAATTGAAGAGAACACACTGCTTTGCAGACCCTGAAGAATCAGAAGTCCATTGCAAGTTTATCTGGCATAAAAAGATGAATCAATTGCACGGAATATAAATGAGTAAATTTTATGAATGAAAGAATCTATATCTATAAACAGTTCTTAGCAAACATTTGGTATACTTCCAGCTTTTTGACTGTAGTGTGAAAAGCTTTAAGTCTGCATGCTTTCTAGAGCATGTTCTTAGATATATATACCTTTAGCAGTTGCACTTGTTACTGCTATAATGCTAACTATAGCTGTATGTTATACATATACAAGCTTGGGTATATGTGTGAACACAAAGGTATGGTTTTTTTCTGCTCACAAGCCAATGCTTGGTTGCAAAGAAATTTCACAAAGCATCAAAATCTAAATATGAACTATGTTCTTCTAAAAGTTCTAACTTAAGTTCTAACTAAAAGTTAATTAAGTTGTTCCTGTGGGAGAATACTGCTAAGCGTGCCCAGACTAAGAGGAAAGACATGAGGGAGATGATGACGCTACCATAGAAAAGTAGACCCTATCACAGAAATAGGCCGTACCTCAGAACTCAGAAAAAGCCTCTGTTTCTTTCTTTTTTTAAAAAAAAAAAAAAAAAAAAAAAAAGCTCACAGTCTCCAGCATCCATCATCTTCAAAGCACAGATCAAAAACTAGGTTTTACTCATTTCTGGTACCCAGAATTTTTTTCAATATCTTGATAGTCAGAATTAGAAGTTTACAAATCCAGACATTTGCTACTAATAAATAGGAAACCAGGCAATGCATTGCAGTCCTTCTTTATTCTTATATCTGTTTTTCCAATTTGTTTTCTAGAAGTTTTATGTCACACTTTGCAGACTGTATGTGTAATATACTATAATAGATAGTGGAAGAGGTGCATAAAGTTGAAGAATTGACTGAATATTTGTTAGCAGAAGTAGGGATATTTTTGAGAAGTTGTATACTATCTCAAACCAAAGTTTGATCTCCCTTTGGTGCCAGTGGAAAGTTTCCTAGAAAAGCATCCTGTGGAAAGAAATGATTGCACTTTTGACTAGCAGCTTATGATTGAAAGCGAAGTACTTGTGCCAGAACTGTACTAAATATGGTTGAAAATGAGCTATCATTCCATAGATGTCTCTTTCTTTTGATTGACGTGTAGTAATCCTAGTTCAGTGCGCTGATTTTTCTTATTTGCTTGTTCTATACTAGTAGTTGCAGGTGCAACTTTTTAGGCTTCATGTCTTACCTTCCTTGATAGGATTTGCCACATGGAGGGAAACAAAACTATGGATATCACCCA